CTGTAAATGTGTAGGAAAAATAGATGCAAGATGTCTGTTTTTATGCAATGCCTGAAGGTACAATTATTTTTATTGCCAAGAAGCAACATGTTGATGCCAGAAAGAAAGCAAATTTCCAAAGGTAGAATTTGGTGTGTAAAATAAAATTACAATTACCTCCTAGTCACGAAATGTGTGACTTGAGTACTACTAGTCTAACTGAATTTCCAAAGGTAGAATTTGGTGTGTAAAATAAAATTACAGTTACCTCCTAGTCACGAAATGTGTGACTTGAGTACTACGAGTCTAACTGAAGAAAAATTTCATGTACAACATTTTGTACAAACTTCTTTCTGTCCCTACAGCTAACTTATGTGTTTAGCGAGTTTTAGGCTTAGAGTACACCTGAAAATAGCTATTTACCAAAATCTTTGCACTTGGTGCCAGGTTAATTAACAGTATGAGCTTTATTTCTAGTCAGTGATCGATAATATTTAGGGTAATTTCTATTTTTATTCAGGGGTATATCCATTATTTAATATACTTTGAAATCTTACATTTTCCTACTTGAAAATGTTTTAGATGCTCAGAAAATCTAAATACGTAAAAGACAATTGTAGTTGGAAATTTCTTCTGGGTCTTATATATTATTTTTTTTCTTAGGTCAATAGCTCGAACGGCCAATGTTGATCCTAAAGTCTTGCAGACTGCCGTTAAGGAGACTAAAATACACCTAGATCATCCTAAAGAGTGGAAACTAGCAAAGGCTATACTGAGGTTTCCAGAAGTGATATGCGAGATTCTGGAGGATCTTTGTCTTCACACACTTTGTGACTACCTGTACGAGTTAGCAACGACATTCACAGAGTTCTACGATAGCTGCTACTGTGTAGAAAAGGACAGGCAAACGGGTGAGTCTCGATAATGTGTTTTATCGTTAGTCTTACATGTAGTGAGAAACAGAATAAAAACCGCTTGTGTGACTTTTTGTTATAGTAACTTATTTTTGTTTCAACAGGTGAAATCAAGAAGGTAAATCTGAGCAGACTGCTATTGTGTGAAGCTACAGCTGCTGTTCTCACTAAAGGGTTCCATATTTTAGGAATCCGAACCGTAGAAAAAATGTAACAAGTGTTGATTTTCAAGTATTTGTTTTTCAGGATCCAATTTTTGATAAAATGGCCTCTTTAAGCTAAGGTCAAATAACTCTGGTATTGTTAGGTGTGTGTGATAAAACTGGCAGAAAACACAAACATTTTCTAACATTAATATAGTAAGTAGACCATAACCTATGTATTAATCTTTATTCTTCTGGGACCATAACCTAACATTGTGATACATCAATTGTTAAATGCAGAAGGAAAATCTTGAACTAAGATACATAATTAATGAAAGAAATGTACTTTTCTCTGTGTTGTCATGATCAATAAATTATGTGAAAACAAAAATGTATTAAAACAGCTACAAAGGAGG